AAGGCTGCAGATAGATCCAAAAGAACTAACAAAACAGAACATTTGGCATCAAGAGCCATAGTGATATCATTATGAATCATAAGTAACACGGATTCTGTACTATGGCGGGGCTTAAAGCCAGATTGAAACTTATCATCAATATTTAAACAATCTAAATGAGCCTGCAGCTGGGTAACTACAATTTTTTCTATAATTTTGGACAAAAAAGCAAGAAGGGAAATTGGTGAAGAGGCGAGTGCAGGCAGGTTGGAGTAGGTGGAGAAAAGTGTCAGGAGTGTTGTGTGACAAAAGAGTGGCAGCAAGAATCAAAGGAAAGGTGTACAAGACAGTAGAGAGACCAGCTATGCTGTATGGGCTAGAGACTGTAGCAGTGAGGAAAAGACAAGAGACAGATATGGAGGTAGCAGAGATGAGGATGTTGAGGTTCTCTTTAGGAGTGACCAGGATGGACAGGATTAGGGATGAGCACATCAGAGGGACAGCTGAGGTTGGCTGTTTTCGGGACAAGGTCAGAGAGGCCAGATTGAGATGGTTTGGACATGTGCAGAGGAGGGATAGTGGTTATATTGGTAGAAGGATGTTGGAGATGGAGCTGCGAGGCAAGAGGTCAAGAGTAAGGCCAAAGAGGAGATATATGGATGTGCTAAAAGAGGACATGAAGTTAATTGGGGTAAGAGTAAAGGATGCCGAGGATAGAGTTAGGTGGAAACAGATGATTCTGTGGCGACCCCTAACGGGAACAGCCAAAAGAAGAAGAAGAAGTAACCAAGTTACTTTCAGTTTTCTAAAGCAATTTCTTTACTATTTTAACCACACAAGTGCAAAGGGGTAGGTCTTGGGCCCATGTTGTCCATGTCCATTTGTTATTTTGGTCCATGTACATGTGACAGCACAAAGTGCAAACGTGTCACCTGAAGAGAAATATAAATCTGAGAATGTGATGATTAATGAATAAACTCTCAGCCAGTCACAGCTCTAAGTAAAGTAATGGTTTAGCCAATGTCTTGTCATGATGGTGCAGAACGACAGCACCTCAAATCTGATGTTTATAGGGCCACATTAATCTGATGCTATTTCAAATTTATTTCTCTGGTATCTTGCAATATAAATGGTGACATTGTACTGTAGAAAGTGACAAAACAGCATTTGCACAATAATGCACTTCAAGAAAAACATGTAGTGCTGTAAGGGCTTGCATTGGCAGTCTGGTCTTATTTGATTTGATGATTTAATAAAGGTAAATGTGATATTACTGCACATAAAACAGTATGAAAACTTTCTTCCTTTCAATAATGAAATAATACATTTAAAAGGAACTCAAAAAAGACAAAAACTGATTTCAATTGCAATGCCATGGAAACAAGAGACCGATTTTAGTAGGGTAGAGCATTTGTATGGTGGCCCATACGAGAGACTGCGCAAACATTAAAGGAAACATGCCCCACATACAAAATGCGACAAATTTCTCAAATCTCTGTAAACGTCATTGCAAATTTCCAAACAGACATTTAGATAAACTGCCCACTTATTTAAGATGTAGATGGCCACTTTCTTGTCTGAAATAAAAGGAGTCTCTCCTTGACAAAGGACCAGTGTAGCAGGACTGTGTTGCAAGCCCAACACTCCCCTTGCTGTTATTAACTGGTGGGCTTGGAACTCTTATCCCTGCTGTGAGGCGACAGTGCTAACCACTGCTCCACCATGTCGCCATGAAACTATTTAAATTCATGCATTTTCAGCTTTATGAACATTTTTGGTGGATTCTGCTTTCTTCCAAGAATACCACTGAATGTTCTTGGGCCAAAAGACTGAAGAGAGCAGGAAATATGCTAAACCTCAACTTTTATTCAAAGCATATAGTGGGTTTTTTGTTATGTCAAATCTTCACCCCAGCTCATGGTACAGCACATCCAGCCATCATTGTTTCCTGATAACAGCTGAGTCGGGGATCCTGTGTCCACCTGAGGTTCTAAGCTATTTCCCATGGCCTCAGCTGTAATATAGAGTGCTTCCACTCGGCACTATAGAAATCATTACTGTACAGTGCAGCACAGACACACACACATTTCAGCATCACAAACACGTACCAGATGTGCTGCAGCAGCAAATACAAGGAAGGCTCAACTCACTTTGCAATGTGAGGCCTTGAGTGTTAATATTTGCAAAGGGCTTCAGGGGTGCAGAGCAGGTTATATCATTCCAGTCGCTATACTACACAAAATTTACATGTTGCAAATTAATGGTTTTAAAGACACCTGATTATCTTGCATCACCCAATAGCATCTTCAGGTCCTAAAATGTCACCACTGATGTTGTGACACTCAACACAGTTCATGATTTAGACATTAACAGAGACCTACTGGGCTGTGTCTGCACTGTCTCACTACAGAGAATAGTGAACTAACTCTCTGGGTAAGAGTTGTATGGCATAATGTTTTCCACAGGATTAGCAGCTGACCTTGAGCAGGGTGTGGAATGTATACTGCACTGAGCATGAAGAGTAAATTTCAAAACAGCCCAGGATTCACACAAAAATTATATATAAATTTTGTCAAACTATGTAAATTTGGATGAGGGGAAATCTGCTGTATATACTGGGGAACACTGTCTTTAACATCTATCAATAAGATGTGACATTCTTATAAAGACTAAAAGGAGCCAGAGTCTCTCAACATATAAAACCTTTCCATCCCTACATCTTAGCACTGCTAACTTTTACTTTTTTGTTCCTAAATAACAGTTCTACGTCGAGTCAGACACTGGAGACTGTTGGTTAGTCACTGCTGCATTATTAATACGATATACCCAAAGGCATATTTAAAAATTTACAGCTACCAAGAACAGACCCATATATATTACGTTAAAAGAGGCATAACATTTCACACTAAGGTTAATTGTAATTTTGTATGCATACTCAATTGCAATTGTTCAAATAAACAACTTAAGAAATGAAATAATACATACAAATTTTAAAGATCTCTGTCAGTATGCCTAGGTTCATATTTATTCCCAGTGGTGCAGATGCTTCTGTACAGGTCACAGGGCTCATTGAATGGTGCCTTACCTTCACAGTCACCAGAGTTCAACTTAACTCAACTATAGGAGTTGTTGGAGTGCGCATCACTATTATCAAAACACCCAGTAAGGAACTGTCTTTTGGAAGAATGCTGTTCATCCCTCAATCAGTTCCTCACACATGAAAAATGTATGACAAGGAGCACTGAAACATGCTTTGCAGCGTTATTAAGACACTTTTAACACTATTCATTTGCCTCCATTTTGTATTTCACAGCATTATATTTACTAAAACCCCTGACTTTTTATTTATTTTCTTACTGTGTAGATGCACAGTGCTACAGTACAGCCAGCAGCATGTTGACTCTTACTTTTGTCTGAGTACACATTGGATTTACCTTTTACAGGGCTGTAATCACTGCACATGGCTAAAGGGACTACACATGACCAGCCAGTGATCACACATAAAAGAGGCTTAATCCTCCATTAGCTCCCTGGACACAACACATTAATTCAGTAACACCCATCACACTCAAAGTAAAACACATAAAATATAAACACATAAACAGAGAGATAACTACAGCAGAAATACCACAAGGGAGTGCTCTGGAATATTTAATGGCAGCAAAATTAAGTCAAGCTTTAAAGCCAAGCAAATGTATTTCACCTCCTCTCTGCCATTTCAAAGCACAACACATCTCCTTTGCTGTCAAAAGCAGTCCTTTATAGAGTGCACGTGGGAAGAATCAATACAAACATATTAGAAAAGTTGAGCAACTGTCAAATGTGAGCTGATTAAAATGAGCAGTCGCTGTGAGACCACTCACACAAACATGTTAAAATCTCCTTTTCCGGTTCTGGTTTTAAATACCATCTCCAGCAGTCCCTTCCTGCGTTCACTTCCATTCCTCAGAGGTGTGAAGTGTGAATGTGAGTGTGGCAGCCCAAACACCTCCAGCGTATACACACGCACACCTTGGAGAGTTGCATCAGCCACGTTCCCTTGCTTACAAACACACGCAGATGAGAACATATCTCCCTCACTCTCTTAGCACTATGTCACAGCCTGCAAATCCGCATGAGCTCTGTGTGTGTTTGTGTGTATGTACTGTATGCGTGGAATAAAACATGAATTTACAAGTTGGGTCTAAGCTTAGTTCTGCTCTTGAGACTCTGTGTGGGTGAACGTGACCTTGTTTCCTTCTATACATTAAATCAAAACCATATGACTGTGGTTCAACACTAATAATCCAAAGCCAGAGGGTACTGTATGTGAGCCAGCAGAGTCTGCATGTGATCGTAGTAAACAACAAGCACACTGAAAGAGGAAACCCGTCAGACCAAGTTGGTGGAAAGGATTTGGTGCAAAGGAGGGTAAAGAACAGTGGTGCATGTCATCAACACACTGCTAAATATGTATTTATAACACCATTCTCACAGTTTGTCATCATAAAATGACAGTGGCTTCGGTAGTGTACTGTTGTGTCAAAAACTACCTACATTAGGTAACACAACCTATATGTAAGAGACTAGTCTTTGGCTTTAGAGCTAAATTTGTAAATATTTACATTTGTATTAGAAGCAGGGGAAGTATCAGCAAATGAGAAAATATTGTTCACTAAGGACATTCAAGAAAACAAAATGTGGCAGCTCTTTGGATTATGATTTTTTGCTGACTAATGGATCATGGTAACGGTGCACTCACTACACTCCGTGTTCAAGAAAATAAACACAAAAATACATTTGAAAGAATCTAACCTACGATAACTGATTAGGATAAACTGGTTTTTATTATAAAGGTGTAAACATCTTTGCGTGTCATAATAAAGAGCCTCATATCATCACTTCCAAGCCTAATGACACAGTCAGTCATTTTAAACCAATATTCTAGTGTATTTTTCTGTAAATGTAATAATGTTTTTTTTCTTGTGGGTCATGATTGAGTTACGAGTTGAAATATGAGATAAAAGTTACCCTGTGCCTACCGTTGTACAGACTCTGGTGGTGGGGGGACATCTCCTCTCCTGCTGCCCTCCTGTGAACCCCATCTCTGCTGCGAGAGCCACTAGAATACCTCCTCTTGCCATGCTCCACCCCTGGGCTGTGCTGAAAGTCATGGTGGTGCAGTATAGACTCTGGACTCCCAACAACCACCCGTCCTTTCCTCAGGTGCTCAGGTGTCCCCATTGTTGCCTGCTTGGCCTTGGGACTCCCATGGCCTGGCCCCATTGTGTTAACCTGTCGGTGATGCTGGCTCAGTTCTGGGCTGGACTTGGCTGTGCCTTTCTCACAGCCTGGTGATGCCTGCTTTGACATCAGTAGCTGTTTCTGGGCTAGTAGGTCAGAGCTGCAGGGTTTGGGATGGGAGTTGCATGGTAGCCTGGTGGGAGACTTGTTGTTTTTCTCCAGGCTGTGTCCCAGAAGACTGTGAGGGTCTAGGTTAGTGAGGGATGCCCCTCGGGGCCGGCAAGACTGAGGGAAGGTGTGGTACTCTGGAGTGGAGCTGTGCCTCCTGCCTTTAGATTCACTTACATCTTCTGGTTTGTGGGGGTGCTCTGAGGAAACACAACTCGACCCAGATCCAGGGCTGGCATTGGAGCCCAAAGGACTGGGTTTGTGCTGGGGGTTATCAGGACTATCTGTGCCCTCTGCACTAGAGGTGCTGCTCCCATCACCAACGTCTCGCAACAGGCCAGGTGCTGGGACACCTCCACCCAGCTGAGACAAGCTGCTCTGGCTGTCAATGGAGCTCCTACAGCCAGGGCCACCTTGCCCACCCACACTGCCCCCTCCAGCTACAGCCCTCTCCTCCTCCAGCATGAGACACACCTCCTTGAACTCAAGGTTCTCCCGGATTATCTCCATCTGCCGCTGCTCCAGCTCCTTCAGTTTCTGCAGGTAAATAGCTACGTCCTTTCTCATCAGGTCTGCGCTGTAGCGGCCCAAACGCTGCCATTCTCGCGACACCCTCTTCCCCTTCTGCCGGTCGTCATCCAGGAAACAGCACAGGTCCCGTAGCTCCTGGTTGTCCTCCTGCAGTTTCTGGTTCACGTCCTGATTTACATAGACACACACACACACATATATATATACAGGAACATAAGCACACACACATGCAGCTGTGCCAATTAGCCTGTTAGAGCAGCCATGTGTGTGTGCGCATGTGTGTATGATGTGTTTCTTATAGAGCTTAAATCATTAGTCCATTTGTCAGTCGACACATATAGTAGAACAAATATCTGGGAAACATTTTTCACTATTTTCTGACATCTTACAGGCCAAACAGTTAATTGAGAAAACAAGTGTCAAATTAACCAAGAATAAATGTAGGGTTTCCTCAATAAATAATCAACTTGTGGGCCTACTAATTAGTCATGCAAAAACGTCTATTAGAATTTCTTAGAGCCTAAGTAACTTCATTAAATGTTTTATTTTGTGCAATTAAAATCCAAAACCAAGGATACTCTGTTTAGAATGATATAAACAAGAAAAAACCCTAGCACTTTTTGCCAGGTTTGCTTTAAAAAAATGTAACTATTTGCCACCTATCAAGAGTTGGCATCTAATTTTCTGTTGATCATTTGTTACAACCCCTAAAATTTTGTTCTAAAACTGGGAATACTCAACATAGTTTATTTTTCACTAGTTCATACACCTATAAATATTTATACATTTTGGTCAGAAAGAGGCTATTTTAATATAGTGCAAAGGTGCATTCATAATTATATGCACTAAAAATATTGTAAATTAGTTCACAGTTTACAATTCTCAGGCGTCCATCATTCTGTAGCCTATTCTGTGTATCCCATGTGCAACAGGTTTAATTATTTTCCAATCCCGATTATCTGGTGGCCAGTTTTACAGTAACTGACAAAGTGTACATTTGGTCACATCACTGAAGGCTTGCTGTCTCGTGTACATATCACCATGTTTATTTTAGCCTATACACCAGCGTAAAACTCCAAGGAACCCCGTGCAACCTGGCTCCCCGTGGTCCCCCACCCTATCTCACCTTCAAACTCCGTATCTCGTTCAAGTGCTGCTGGAGTCTACGGTTCACCTCCCGCATTAGATTGCCGTGCTCTACGATGACGCTCCTCTTCTCGGCCTCTGCCCTCCTCAGCCGCCGCACCAGCTCATCTTTGGACCACTTCAGCAGCTCCTCGTCGTGTATTTTAGAGATGTCCTCCGGCGTGCTCTCTGCGCTTCTGGACATCTGCGGCGGCTGCTGCTGCATGCCTTTCTCCTTCCTTGTAAACTCCGATAGAGATTGGCAGTGGAAAGTAGGCTACCGTGTCTTTTAAATATCAAAGAACAGACAAACCAAATCTCAAAACACACTCCTGTTCCCCAAACCCACCTTCCTTATGACCGTGGAACTACATCGCTTTTATTTTGACCGTCTCTCTCCCACGCCCATGCCGCAGCTCCAATATGCACCTGGTGTCTGCTACTATAACCCTGCTATCGAAGCATCAGTTTGCATGCTGTTGTCTCTCCGACTGAGCCCTTTGCCAGCTTGGCGAGGCAGTTTCTCTCCAGGCGCATGTCGGCCGCTTTGCGCACTCCCGCTGTAGTGGCGCAAGGAGATGTTAAGCAGCATAGCCGGAGAGCTCAGTACGTTAGTGTAGAGAATAGACTCTCTTCTCTCGCTCCTTCACCGTCCCCTTCTTATGTCGCCTTTTCGTCTTGTTGCGCCATCTGGTGTAGGAGAAGGTATCTGGCCACAGCTGCAGTCGTACTGTTAAATGGTTGCTCGTGTATCCTCCCACAATCCAGAGACATGCAGATTAGGATGGTGATTCTAAATTGCTTCTAGATGCGAACGGTTGTCTGACTGGCAAACCAATTCATAGTGTACCCCGCCTCTCGCCCAGTGTCAGCTGGGATCAGCAAATGAGGTTTTCACACTGAATCAATCTCAAAATAAACAGTAAAAAACGTTTTAAATAGAAACCAACATAAACCGTGTCTGTCTTCATGTTCAGTCATTATCCAATGATTATGAACCACGTGTTTGCAAACTTTCTGAAAACACAGGATTTTGACATTTATTCACTGAAAAAGTTCATCACCACCACAACATTTAGTCTTTTCATTCCAGAAAGTTTTTACAAAACTGAAACGTCTTCACCTTCAGATAAACTGATAGTTAATGACTTTTAAAAATATGTACTATTACACAATGAATGCAGAATGTTATACTGGTTTTGGATGTGACCATACTAAATTAGGAAGCCGAGAATTAGACTTCAAAATTCACAATTCAATCTTACCAAGTTAGTATGCCACTCAAAACAAACTATAACAAATACAACCATGTACTGTATGCCAAGGTTTGCCGTTAAATAACTGATAGGTAATAACTTGCAAAATCATAATTTGAATGTGCATGATGAATAAAAAACATTCAGAAGTCTCCATTGAAATGAATTACAATGATCAACATGTGAAACAAACATCAAATCCTTCATCCAACCATCAGCTGCAGTATACCTTTTTATCTTCTGTAAGATCAATGGGGGGCTGGAACCAATTTATAATGGTGCTTTAGGGAGATGACAGAAAAAAGGTGTTGGTTCAGAATTCATAATGCAAACTTCCATCTTCCAAAACCAATAAAGAATTGCCACTGAGGCACATAGAAGGGTCCTTTCAAATATAGTAAGTTACAACTACACTTAGTTTCCAAAAGCAGTATGTGAAGCTGCACAAAGAATGCAAAACATCCTGGTAACATATTGGTTACAACTCCAAATCAGACACAGTTGGGATGGCACATAAAATCAAAATTAAGACTGTACTGTGCCAAAAAGAAGCCAAAATCCAGGGTCAGTCATGGTCTGGGGTTGTGCCAGTGCCCTTGGCAAAGGTGAAACGTCTGTGATGGCATGATTAATGATGAAAAATACAGAGATGTTGGAGCAACACACGCTGCCTTCAAGACAACATCTCTTCAAGGGGCGCCAATGCATATTTCAACAAGACAATACAAAATCTCACACTGCACACATTACCAAGGCCACTGGAATTTATTTTATTATTTTTTTTGTAGAAATGATTTAGGCTACTATTTATTAGGAGGCGCTGAACATACATTCAACACAGAATAGCTTCACACTTGATGAATATGAAGAATAATGTGCATGTTGACCTTCTTAACCCACGTTTAAGATGAACAGCATTTGATGTAACTTAATATTCAACTGGAATGAGCCAAATTTTCAGTACAAATGCATTAAACGGCAGTTCCCTATTAAAAGTTGCTATAATCAAATTTACAGCATAGACTAGCTTAGGGCTCTTTAAATATGAAGAGTAGCGTGTTTGAGTTTCTTGAACCACTTTTAAGAAACACTGAACAGGAATCATTTGAGAGCTTGAACAAACCTCTAAGGAAAAACTTGAGGACATCATCAGTTACAGTCTAATTAGTGGTGACTTTCCCTTTAATAATTTGTGTTTACATTCAAGGTCATGCTCATATACAGTACAGCACAGCAGAATGTCTTAGACAAGCATATTTTCAGTATTTCATCTTTCTCTGTAAAACCTGTATTTCAAAGCAATCATGAGTATTATAATTTTCATGCCTGAATACACACACATCAAGATGTGTAATAATACCATTTTATTCATTAGGCCTATTAGTAAACCCTCAGCCAAACCTTAAACATCCATTTAGGCTGCTCCAATCACCCCTACCATAGATGCAGGAAAAGCAGCGCAATGGCAGCTGGCTTGACTGGGTTTATTAACAATCCACTTGAGCACAGTTTGCAAACAGTAGTTGCACAACTCCCAGTCATCAATGAAAGTGCACCATTATACTAATGTATGGCTACACTGTGCAACTTCACCACAGGTCTGTTTCAGAATAATGAGTGTGATGCATTTCTGGACTCCCCCAGAAATTTACAACAAACCATAAAACCATGGAAAGTTTTAATAAACATTTAATTAGTGGGGGTGCGAAACTAACTTTGTGTCTCCTCTCTCCCGTAGTGTGTCCTCTCTCTCTCTCTCCCTGCAGGTTGCCCTGGCTCTGGAGCTCTATGTTTTTTTATGAGCAGTCACCGGCTACATGAACTTGACCAGTGTTCGATTGTTTGTTGTGTCCTGTTGCTTTTCTTTTCTCTTCTCTCTCCTCTATACACTCACCTCAACCAGTCAAGGCAGAAGGCCGCCCACCAAGAGCCGGGGTCTGTCGGAGGTTTCTTCCATTAAAGGGAGTTTTTCCTCCCCACTGTCGCCAAGTGCTTGCTCAAGGGGGATTTGTTGGGTTTTCCCGCTGTAATAATAGTGATAACAGTAAGGTCTAGACCTTACTCTGTAAAGTGTCCTGAGATGACTTTTGTTGTGATTTGGCGCTATACAAATAAAACTTGATTTTGATTTGATTTGAGTGTACGTAGCTCTGCTGGGTGGCTGGGCTGGGGCAAACTCAGAGAGGGGTGGCACATTTGAAATACGTATAAAAAGTTCACTCCTAGTTTTACAAAATAATAAACAATGTATCATTAAAAATGAGATGAGGAGGTGTCAAATTGATATGAGGATTTATTCTCAGTTTAAGTGTTGCTTGAGAACTTACTGATCTGGCATTTACATAAGGCCAAGTAACATTTCCACCAAATCTACCACAGTTGAAAAGCTGGGGGAAATAACTTACTCATTACTTCCAGTGGAAATAATAGTATATTGCATCTGGACACAAAATCTTAAGCCAAGGACACATTTATTACTTAAAAGATGCATGGTAACAGATATGATTAAAGATAAAAATGCAATCAACAAATTGTAGCTGAAAAGCAAGATACAAGAACTGCTAAGATTTGTAGTTGTTGTACTGCCAAAAGGGAAACAAAAATAAAGCTGCATGTCTAAACTTCAGAAAAGTTTTTCTTCTGGCGGAGAGGAGACTGCACATTCCATTGCCTCAGTCCACAAGTTCTGAAAATGAGGAGAGCAGAATTGTAAACTACACCTTTTCCACAGAAGCTTTCTCCTTAACAAACCAGAGTATTAATTCAATGTATTATTGTGCAAGTTTTACCATTTATAAGAAGGTTAAATAAAAAGTGAATTCAAATATCCAAGACTAGTTTACAGAGGCACAGCACTGATGTTATTCACAAAGTTTTATTCTCCTCAATTCTAGTGACAAATCAGAAATATCAGACAGTTCTCTTCAAACCTGAACAAATAAAATCAACCCTCCCTGAATGGAGGGATACCACTGGTGAGAAGACATTAAATACAGTAATGTACAAAGGTATTATGTACTTTAGGGCAGGGACACACAAAGCACTAACAGTGACAAAGGCTGATCTCGGTGTTGCCTCATGTCTGGCCCAGTCGGGTTGAAAAAGTGGCAATTGAACACACCGCACAGACTACAGCCAACAGCCAACTAGCATGCAAGGCAGAGGTTGGCCTTCATTGCTGCTATTTTTTTTCCTGCTGCCTTGGTGCGTCTCTGCCCATCGATGTTTTCATTCTAATCCATCACTCAATTCAACTAGATATCCATGTGAGCAGTTTTAAAATCATCCTCTAGCATGACAACAAGCCCAAACATACAGCTAGCGCCATAGGTAATGCTGAAGTGGCCTAATCCAATATTTTTTTTTCCTCTCTACCTGATTCAAATCTGATTTTTTTTCATGGAAGTGTCAACAAACTGAATCAGATGTTTTCATATCAGATTTGGGCCACATTCATTTTATCTTGTAGTGGTTAAAAACAAACAAGGTACCAGTCCAGAGGTAATATGCAGAATAGAATAGTGTGTAGTTCATATATAGATATTATTTGTAATAGTTATGTAAGGGTGAGCTAAGTGTTTATGTAAGCTTGATCTGTTTCTCTTCTCTTCTCTTGCTCAAGCAAGGATATCTTGGCTGTGTCTTCCCTGTTTAATTTATGGGTAAACACCCAGAGCGAATTCCTCCTTAAATGGGGAATGGACATAGCTTCAGCCTTATGTGAAAAGTTTGTGTGCTCTGTTCATGTTTAAAAAAGGAAATGTGAGCTCAGGCCATAGAAAGCTGGGTAACTGCGAGAAGATAAAAGGTTAGGACAGCTGTGGGTTAGAGGAGAAGGAATGATGGTGCTGGAGTCATGAGTGTGCATTTGGACCCGGCTGGGGGGACTTTGGATTCTGACTGACTGTACCCTGTGAACAAGACTGACTGACTCTGTGACAATTTCCTTCTTTAATACTGTATCTATTCCATTGCATGAGGAGTGATTCTGTTCTCTAACTACCAGATTTGCTATCTAACTACTACCCTGTTCAGAATAATTGTAATATTAAATGATTATTTAAATTGGGATGATTTGTCTGAATTTAGTCTGTATTAGATTCAAACAACTACAATCTCTTACTTGCAACGGCCATCAAAATGGTGAGAGTGGAATCCATGTAGATCTTGGAATGTCTCATTCCTTTGATCATGTGCAAACTGCTAGTAATTTAGTGTTGTACCTCACAGACCAGGTAAAAAGGAGGACAGCAAAAAGTTGTGGAACTGTCCTGAATGGCAATTTTTGGGCTTTGGAGCTTTGCTATCGATAAACGGCACTATGTAAGATGTATCAGAATTTCATAAAGATTTCATACATATACTGTAGATAGTAGGAGACACTAAGTGTTGTCTTTTATGTACAGTCTTACAAATTATGAATATGTCAAACTGGAAAAGACTGGCCAACAATAACAGTGTCATTCCATGGAAACCGTACAGATTAGATCTTGGAAATTTATGATTTTTTAAAAATCATAATCAAATATCAAATTTTCTATTTCATAATGTGAAGGATATGTCAGAACTGCAATAAAACATTTAGTGAGCTCAGGCACCACATTTTAATTTTTTGCCCTTTATACTGTATCAAGATATCAGAGTGGGTTTGTTCCACCTCGTCAGAGGACAGTAGGTAAACCAGTTCAGTGACGGGGCAGGAAAAGTCAAAGTAATGTGGGCAAAATTCTCTGATTGAAGTTAACACCACAATCTGCAGCTAAATGAAAATTTCATGCTTTTATATAAATCCATATTAAAAATTCCATTAAAAAAAGTTTTTCCCATGTTTTTTTGACTGACAAGGTAGATGTGGTGTGCCTGCAAGAGAAGGTTTTGAAAGAAAAATGTACCAAAAACGTTCTAAAAGGATCTCAAGCATTTCAATGTCTTATTTAAACCCTTAAATGATAAATTTCTTAGTTTCACGTTAACGTAATACTTCATTAACGCCGACAATTATTTTATCGCGCATTAACGCAGTTTATTTTTATTATTATTATTATTTTGAAAGTCCATTGCCCACTGGCTCTGAATACACATACAGACACACCATGGGTCATAGGAGGGACGGGGTGTTGATCAGTACTGGCTTGAGATGGGCGTCATCATGTGTCTCAACCAATAAGACCATTTGAGGCGGGCCTAAGACCGCTGCAGCGCTCAGGTGAACTGGTCCAACTTGGCGACTTGTTTTTGTCAAAAAAGCGACTAGCGACAAATCTTGCGACTTTTTCTGGTGTTACTGGATTCTTTTCTGGTGTTTTGAAGACTGACGTGAAAGCATGTATCACTCTGCATTTACTGTCCTCAACGACCAGCGGGTGCTGCCGTGAGCCCCTCCCCCGTCCCAAAGCTCCCGCAGTAGCCTGGCGCAGCAGTTCCAGCTGCAGTCAGAGCAGAGAGGAGACCCACACCGCCCCGCGTCCAGACTGCTAATGAATCGCGCAAGCGCAAAGCCGCTGCTAAGCCCGGATAAAGGAGGAGGATGAATTGCTTAAATTTGATATTCTAGCATTTACCAATACAGGACAAAATTGATTTATGTAATGTGGGTCTAGACAAAACATTAAAGTCATGAAGTTATTTTGAGAAGTGATGGCCTATTTAAATGGCAAAATAAAAAACAAGCAAACCAAGAATCAACAGAAGAAAGTTCATTTGTAGTAGTAAACATATTTAGGGTGTTTTTACTCACTTTTTGTCTCTCCCATGACGTTATTCCTCTCTCCTACAGCGTCCTCCTACAATTACATGCAAATTGAATTTTATGCAAATTAGGCGATGACGCCATTTAGCGACTTCTAGCTACTTTAGGACAGCCAATAGCTACTTTCCTTACTGAGGAGTTGGCAACACTGTAACTTCCAGGGACAGAAAAATTGAGAAAGGTAAAGGACTCTTATGTGGACTTGTTCAGTTTAAATCTCTTCCACATGGCGGAGTTGATAGAACAAAAGTAATTTGTAGCCAGTGGAAAGCTGAATTTTCTTACCACCGGAGTACTTCGAGTCAGAAGTATCACTTAAATGCAATTGTTAGGTATTTTTAGTCAGATAGACATTGGTTAGACACTTGATGTATTAGAAATGTTTAGTGTAGACAGGATGTCTAACTGTATCAGATGTTTGTAATATGGTTTCATTTCTTCCTTAGTTGAACAATCTAGGCAAAACAAAGAGGTGTACCATCAGTACCAGGAGCTTGCTTGAGTAAATGTACTTAGTTATTTTCCAAAACTACTGTGTTGTTGGTGTGGACTGTAATATAAAAAGGTGTTTCTGTGAAAAATGACCTGGGAGAACTGGGAGATCCTTTGTCAGGAGCCTTACATATATAAGCTTTAGCTGTACTTTAGTATTTTGTCAGCATTGTACAGTAGCTGAATAAACCTTTGTGAAGTTAGGCCTACATTGCACTACCTGCAGTAATTTTTACAGTGCCTTGCGAAAGTATTCGGCCCCCTTGAACTTTGCGACCTTTTGCCACATTTCAGGCTTCAAACATAAAGATATAAAACTGTAATTTTTTGTGAAGAATCAACAACAAGTGGGACACAATCATGAAGTGGAATGAAATTTATTGGATATTTCAAACTTTTTTAACAAATAAAAAACTGAATAATTGGGCGTGCAAAATTATTCAGCCCCTTTACTTTCAGTGCAGCAAACTCTCTCCAGAAGTTCAGTGAGGATCTCTGAATGATCCAATGTTGACCTAAATGACTAATGATGATAAATAGAATCCACCTGTGTGTAATCAAGTCTCCGTATAAATGCACCTGCACTGTGATAGTCTCAGAGGTCTGTTTAAAGCGCAGAGAGCATCATGAAGAACAAGGAACACACCAGGCAGGTCCGAGATACTGTTGTGGAGAAGTTTAAAGCCGGATTTGGATACAAAAAGATTTCCCAAGCTTTAAACATCCCAAGGAGCACTGTGCAAGCGATAATATTGAAATGGAAGGAGTATCAGACCACTGCAAATCTACCAAGACCTGGCCGTCCCTCTAAACTTTCAGCTCATACAAGGAGAAGACTGATCAGAGATGCAGCCAAGAGGCCCATGATCACTCTGGATGAACTGCAGAGATCTACAGCTGAGGTGGGAGACTCTGTCCATAGGACAACAATCAGTCGTATACTGCACAAATCTGGCCTTTATGGAAGAGTGGCAAGAAGAAAGCCATTTCTTAAAGATATCCATAAAAAGTGTCGTTTAAAGTTTGCCACAAGCCACCTGGGAGACACACCAAACATGTGGAAGAAGGTGCTCTGGTCAGATGAAACCAAAATCGAACTTTTTGGCAACAATGCAAAACGTTATGTTTGGCGTAAAAGCAACACAGCTCATCACCTTGAACACACCATCCCCACTGTCAAACATGGTGGTGGCAGCATCGTGGTTTGGGCCTGCTTTTCTTCAGCAGGGACAGGGAAGATGGTTAAAATTGATGGGAAGATGGATGGAGCCAAATACAGGACCATTCTGGAAGGAAACCTGATGGAGTCTGCAAAAGACCTGAGACTGGGACGGAGATTTGTCTTCCAACAAGACAATGATCCAAAACATAAAGCAAAATCTACAATGGAATGGTTCACAAATAAACATATCCAGGTGTTAGAATGGCCAAGTCAAAGTCCAGAC